TCTCTCTCTCTCTCTCTCTCTCTCTGTGTGTGTGTGTGCGTGTGACATGCAGTCCGTGCATAGAACGTCAGTAGTCAGTAGAGACACAGACACGTCCCCGCAGTACTCACAGTCATTTTTTCCTCCGGCTACTGATCTTCCCCAGTTACTGATGAATATTACAATAATATGCTAGTCTTGACGTAATGAATACTCAGAATGGCATACTGGTCTATGGGATCAAACGCTGCCATATGCCGAGCTATACATATCAACACAACTTGTTCAGCAAACAATAAGCTACGTCATAGGCAGATGATGGATGACACAGGAATGCATTTGAACTAATCGGATCTTTTGCAGAGTGTACACTTGGTACAGGGCAGTGCACTTGCCTAGAATTTTCCAGCATTTCTTCAGTATGGCATCAAAGAAATGAAAATGCCTCTCAATTGAAACCAAACTACTTTTGACTGAAGAAGTCGAATACATAATACTTGCTCAATGCTTGTTATTATCAAAGATCGAACATAACAAGATGGTCCACTCAGCCCACGGCTGTAACCCCACTGAAAGTGGTACTTTAGTAACTTGTTGGTGGCCGATCCCCGGTGCCCCGAACACGGCAACACCAGGAGACAACACAGTAGGACTCACTGACACACTGAACGTATCAATAGAGGCTGACAAAGGAGATGATTACACTAACATGATGGAGACACAGTTGATGGGACCCCCACCCCGTCCTATTGCTTGTTCTACACCAGCCAAACCCAAACCAAATGTGGCAGACATGAAAACATCACCTGCGTTCAAAACTGACAGATACTTTCATGAATCTTTAAAAAAATCACCTTCACAGCCATTAGAAAAAGCTGAAGAAAAACTACACACAAATTTTGTGAGACGAAAATTGCATAACTCAAAAACAAACACGTTTGAATACAAAACAGGAGGGCAGTCAATACTTCTAGCACGACTAAGGAAATCAAGGAAAGAATTATCACAGGCCAAAATAAGCACAAAACGAAAGAGAGCCAAATTAGTTTCCGTTGTTAGGGAAAGCATTGTAGGCACATACAATGACAACATCATCACAGAACATGCAAACGAACTGAAGAGAGTCAAGGCACCATATAGACACAAAGTTTGTGAAGAAGCCGGGTTCAGTTGCACACCTCAAATGACAAATGAAGAAATTTTAGCAATGAAAGAAACAACTGATCTTTCATGGAGCCAGTTACGCCAGCTGAGGCGTTTTCTGAAAGAAGCTGGCCTACCAATGCCCAACGAGCACAAACAAAGAGAGGCCATGAAAAGAATATCTGAGGGCACCATTCTCACAGAACAAGTAGATTTTGTTGATAGTTCCGGACAAAAATGTAGGACAGCATTTGCCAGAGTTTCAAAAATAGGTGAGTTTGTTACTGAACTCCTTAACCAGCACAAGCACCACCAAACACTTACTTGGCATGACTCTACTATTCCAGATAATGAAATGTGGGTGAAATTTGGGGGGGGGATAACGGAAAGGGTAGCTTGAAATTTACAATGCAGATTATCAACACTGACAAACCGAATTCCAAGCACAACACTTTTGTCGTCGCTATGGCAAAAATCAAAGACAACTATGATAATCTGAAGATATGCATGTCTCTACTGGAGCCTCAGCTTGAACAGCTTTCGAATTTGGAATGGGATGGGAAGAAGATAATTGTTTTTCTTTTTGGGGACTATGACTTTATTTCTAAAATCTATGGCCTCTCTGGTGCTCAAGGTACTTACCCATGTTTGTGGTGCCTCACAACCAAATCTCAACTGGCGACATGTCAACAACAATATTTCCTGCCTCGTACTTTGGCAACTATGAAAAGCGATCACAATCGTTTTAAAAAATATGGCCATGGCCTAAAGAAAAATGTCGCTCGTTTTCACAATAGTTTACACCTCCCACTAATAAACATTGAACCTGTTAAAGTAACACCACCATACCTTCATATCCTTTTGGGTATAGTTCTGAACCACCATCGTTTGCTGGAGACAGCGACACACACAATAGACATACAGCTAAGTGAGCAATCAGAGGAAAACTTTAAAGGGTTTCGTCGTCACTACGCACATATGGAAAAAACTGGAGTCGTGGGGAGGAACTAAATGGGGAGATTGGACAATTAGAAGGTTGTATAGTGCTTTCTGACTCTGAAGAGGAGAGAGCTAACTTTCAAAAACAACTGACAGGGAAAGAATACGAGTTGTCTGAATTAGAGCACGAACCCCTTAGCCCTAGGACTGGCCCTAGCTGTTCTCATTTAGACGCCATACAAGACTCACACAATATCACACCACAGGCATATCACAGCCGCTCTTTCATTGGGAATTACTGCCACAAATACATTATGAGTCGCGTTTATAAAGACCTCACGGCATTCATTGTAAAAGAAACAGTAGAAAACACCCACAACCAAAACATAATTGACACCGTTTACACTCTCAGAGAAAAATTCAATCAGTTAAACAACGCATTTAGGGACGTTCACATCCACATCTCACACGGCCAACCAGTGTCAAAAGACAGTCTACCACACTTTAGTGGAAAGGTACTTCCCAAACACCACATTCTAGAAAACCACTGCATCCCGTGGATACAAACATATGGGTTTGGTCTGGCTTTACATAGGGAACAGGGTGGTGAACTTATCCATGCTTCTGTGGCAAAGCTGGAAAGAAGAGGAGCTGGGATACGTAATTCTGAAAAACAGCTGAAAGTTATCATGCAATCTCAGCACCTGATGTCAAACCCCGAACTTTTGTCCAACGTGCCTCCCACAAAGAGAAAAAAGGTGACAGTGTAATCAACCCTTCACCACTCTAAGACCGTGGCCTTCCCAAAAGAACACCAAAGTGAGTTTTGATATTTGACCCTTTCTGATGCATTTTATGTGAATTTGAAGTATTGTTTCAGTTTTGTTTGATTGAAATTTTGATTTTAAAATATTTTAAGGGCAATGTTAAAATATGAGCCATTTTAGGAACGCTGTATATATCTATCGTTATTTCATACAATTTTGCATCTTTCTCAGTAAGTGTAGAAGTTCCCTCTTGTTCCAAACGGGCAAAATAAAAATACGGCAAAGTCACTGATCGGCGTATTTTGCGAGTTTAATTATCCTAAAAATGAAAAGAACAACACTGTCAGCGGGGCACGGGGAATTCCCCTGGCTACGAGTTCATGACCCCGGTGGGATTACAAGATGCGGCGCGCTGGCTGCCTGCGAACTAAAGTACCGCTTCCAAACACGTGAGCCAAAAAAGTGTCCGCCAGAAGTCCGCTCATTGCTTCAGATGGCGCTGCAGTTTTTGTTTTGAAGCTCTCTTCCATTTCTCCAGAAGGAGAATAGGAATAGCCTCTTCCTCCGGAAGACGTTTTTTTGTCAGAGTAACCTCTTTACAAAAGCGTTCGTCCGAAATTTGAATTCTTATTTGTTCAAAAACTTGTTAGTTTCACTTTGATTTTTTTCACACAAGCAGGGTAACTCTGTTCGCCACCGAATTTTGAGGACACTTTTTTAATTGGCACAAAGAGAGGAGTTGACCATCTTGTTAGAAATCATCATTGTTATTATCTACACAAAAACCTCATATTTGCAATAACAAACACTCAGATTCAACTAAATTGAAGGTAAGGCCTGACGACCAGAGCTGGTAGTAACGGAGTACAAGTACTCCGGTACTTGTACTTACATTACAATTTTCGGTACTTTTACTGTACTCCGGTACATTTTTGAAACCAGTACTTTTACTGTACTCCGATACTTTTTATAAAAGTACTTTTGAGTACTTTTTAAGTACATTTTGAGTACTTTGGTAGCTTAATGAAAGGGTAAGTGCAGGCATTTCTGATCATAATTTACGGAGCAAAAACCCGATCAACCGCCAAGAGTTAAAAGTTGAGATCAAAGAACGGCCCGTCGCCTCAAAGATCAGCCACTATCGTGAATGTGATCACAAGCGTTGTAAAACTCCTTGAAACGGTACAGTGTTTGCTCCAGACGGGATCACACCAAGGTGTGAACTGACCGATGCGTTTCTTTTCCCCAAACATCGCACTCGCATCTGACCTCACCACCTAAACTTACATCACTCCCTGGGTGGGTAGGGCCTACAAGTTCGCTCCAGGCGGGATCACATCAAACTGTGAACTCTTCCCTGACCATTGAAAGCAGTTTTTCCCGAATTTGCGAGACAACCTGAATCTTAATTAGTGTGGTCACATCGTAATGGTGCGTAATGACAAAGGAGGTTGGGGGGGGGGGGAGACTCAATCAGAGATGGAAAGCTAAAATTGTTGGACAGGTTAAGGGGAGGGGCAACTGGATAAACGTAGATAAAGATCTCAAGACTCACGATAGGCTAATGAGTGTGTATATATAATATTATTTATGGCATGCCTCATGTCACTGTGATTGGTAATCAAGGTTGACCACTCTTTGCTTGCCATATGTCATAAATCAACCCAGGGGTCACGTCAGTTCATGGATCACTGTAGATTCTTCCTTGGCTTCGTTGGCTAAGATCCCATATTTTCCTTGCTTCCGAGCACTGGGATCTTAGGCGGAGACTACTGTAGTAGAGAATCTTTGGTTACACTACACTTACTAGACTCTAGGAAACTATTGTATTTTGGTTTGCCGTGGGCGCCGTGGACTACACAGTGTGACCAAAATCTGTCAGACCACTATAATCAATTGAAACTGAAACTGTGTTCTCAATGTGTATCTAACAATTTTTAAGCTGCCTAAATTTCTTTTAAACTTTTTTTGGGTGGTTTTTGCTTAAAGCTACATTGATTCCTAGAGGATTTGTTAATGAAGAATTCAATGCACTTTTCCATTTCTAAGCGGGCCATTTTCATCAATTTCATCAATTCTATGTTTTCTTAAGAGCAACTTTGTATCTACATTTTTCAATTTGGATACTCTTTCTGTAGAACTTTCCGACCTCTAGGACTGACTTACATTTGATCACATTGTCTTGCTCAAACAAGTTCTATTCATAATATCACTTACCCACTAGTTGCGTCTGTTCGTTTGGGTTGTTTTTTGTTCAACTTCACGGACCATTTCCACCGTTCAGTGCGTACATTGTATATTCAAATGCTTTGTATACTGTTTACATTTTTAGTAATAAATAGCCTAATTTGTCAAATATACTGGATAAGTTATAAAATATGATGTTTTGCATAAGCGCTGAAGTGTTTTAGCATATTAGCAGAAAGTACTCAAAATGTACTCATAAGTACTTTTTTAAAAAGTACTTGTACTCAAGTACATTTTATAGGAAAGTACTTTTACTGTACTTAAGTACATTTTTTAGCTTGTACTTAAATTTGTACTTAAGTACTTTTTAAAAAGTACTTTAACAGCTCTGCTGACGACTTTGTTGAATCAGAATTCCACAGTATGAAGTACATTGAAAAGAAACCAGCATATCAAGCACATCAGCTTACCTTACCAGGCACCCCTCGATGATCTTCACTTCCTTGCCAAAAGCGCCTGCTGTACCCACGTATATACCCGGTCACTTTCTTCTCATATGGAAAGTCCACCTTCCAAATCAGCGAACCATATCCAAAGACCCACATCACTATGTGCTGATGATGGTTGTGACCAGGCTTCAAATCAATTGCTCTTCCTGGAAGTTAGGACGAAATAAGATTGAGCAGTTTGGCCAAATGCAGTCCTCAAGGTGGCAGCAGGACTTTGGATGAAAGTAGAAATTTAAAATATTATGTGTGAGTACCTATAGAAAGGTATCAAAAGTTGGATTTTCACTATTTTGAGTTAAGGGTTGTACATTGTAGGAAATTTAATGCTAAACACATGGGTCTTTGAAATTTTTAGATGTCTCAAGTAGTTTTGGCGATATTGCACATTTTGCAAGGTATGGTATAAAAATAGTTTTGAGAAAATGAGCTTTTAAGTTTAACAGATGGGAGAACACATATACAAACTTAAATAAAAACGATTTTTTAAATATATTTATTCACAGAAAATTCATATCCAATTTCGCATTCAGTTGACATCAATATAAGGAATGGAATTCAATGATAAAACGTAGCAGGGAAAAGAAAACGTGCTTCAAGAATAGATTTTAATACCTTTTAGAAGCAATTTTCATTATTTGTTTTTATCATACCTTACCCTAAAAATAATTCAAAATAAAATATTTAGAAGTCAAAGCAATTAAAACCCTTTGAGCACATTGTGAAAAAATGGAGGATCTATCATTTCTTAATGGAAACACATTTTGGTCAAAAAAGTGATCTTTGTTATTAGCCTATAGCTCAAAACCGTCTGGAGCGACTTTTGGTACCTTTCTCTAGCCGCACACACATATTATGCTGAGCTCCATTCACAACAAAAAAATTTACATTTACTGGAAATGATGTGTATTTATGGAGGAACAAGATTTTATCAGCAGAGTCGCCTATTTCATCTTATGAAACCATTTAAAAGATCTAGTCTGGCAGCATTGCCGCAAGTCTGCCTATAGATCTGGCATAAAAGTAAAAGGAAAGAAAATGATCATCAGACTTGACAGTCCTAGAAACTTACAACTTAAGGGAAATAGTAATAGTCATGTTTAGAACAAAAACAAGTAACAATTAAAACACTATACTAGACTATATTTGTCCAAGAAAGACATGAGTTTCTATAATAATCAAAATTGTAAAGCGCAAATTCCTGCTCAACAGAAAGCTATATAATATGTGCTTCACAATCTATTATTACCCCAACAGACTTGTGGCATTCTGAAACAATCTCAACTTCCTAGGAAGCATACAATAGTCTCTGCATAATGCTGGGGTGTTTTTTGTCGAAGTTTTTTTTGGTTACCTTTTGCATTTAACTGAGCCATTGTAATAGTTCTCCCTTCCAGAGACTGAAAGTGATACAAGTCAATATTTCCTCAATAAATTTATCACTAACAGAGCATTATATTTCCAAGAAAAACTATATATATGCACTGTCAGTAAGGCACCTGGTTTCGTCTCAAATGCAAATACTTTAGGTACTATTATACTATGCAAACTAAAAATTTATTTTCAATTCAGTAGACCTTTTTTTTGTTGTCAGTCTAGCCTTCATTTAAGTACGGTACGGCTCAGCTCGGCTAGACTGCTAGTCTAGCCGTCATTAAGTACGGCTAGCCTCTTCCATAAAAGTAATAAAATATATATATGAGCTAGAATGTATTAACAAGGACAGACGAACATGAACAAACATTAATCTAGCCTATAATCTGAAAAAAAGTAGTGTCAGTGCATTATAATATAGTCTAGACTAAATAAGACAAGATTATTATTCCAGGTCCAAAATTTAGACTCTAGACTCTAGATCTAGCGAGTAATTGATCTAGAATCTATATTTAATACCATGGCCACACAGGAACATAGTCACTAGAATCTAGATCTAAAGCGTTGGTTCAACGCCGTTACTTTAGAACTCTGCATGAGTGCTTTGATTTGTCATGGAATAGATCTTCTCTTGAAATCTACTCTACATTTTGCAAGGGAATGATACTGTAATATAGGCCTAAGAAGTGCTGATCTTTACTCACAGGTACTTGCTTGCAGTCTTTTAAAATCAACTTACCTTGTTGAGCTGACTAACGATGATAAAAAGTAAATAAAACAGTACAGAAATATGGGGAAAAGGGGTTATCTGGTAAATTGATTTGAGGGTTTATGCCAAGTCCCAGGAATCAGCTGTATTGTTCTCATCATAACCCCATTCCTCAGCATGACTACGCAAAAATAGCCTCCTCTTATTTTACGAAAAGAAGCAAATAAGCGCTTCTTATAATACCCGGTGTGCGTCAAGAAGCTTAGAACTAAACTCCTTGGTGTGCGTAAAATGAATGTATTATTAATATTATATAGATCTAGTGCTTTCTACTTCTCGATGCAAGATCTACATGTGATTATTAAATTTGTAATATTGTGAAAATAAAATGGTATAGGCCTAGATCTAGTTCTAAAAGTATAAAAAATCTAGTAATACATTTTTTTAAAAGTTAAAACAGCGTCGTTGTCTTGGAAACGGGCACGGGATCAAACAGTTGAATTGCAATGCATTGATGCAGGATCGCTGGTCGCAGCGTGCATTATTGTCCACGGTTTAGCTCAGCTGCAAAGTGCTCGTTCAAAATTAAATAAGAACTCCGAGTGTTGTTCACCATGTATCTCATTGTAGACTGAAGTTCTTTGACTCTCTAGGGACCCAACTAAATTAATGCCTATCAATTTATTTGACAACCTTTCCCTGTATTGTATTTTCAGTACAATTTCATTTACTTTCATCATAATAATGTATCATCATAGTCAACTCAACAAAGTAATAAGTACAGAACTTGAGAAAGCTTGTGGGTGGTTGGCAGGTGCTCCTTAATTTCTTTCCTATGAAACATCATTTTATCGTCTTTATCCCTCCTCCATTTTTGTGTTTATTACTCTCTTATAAGCAATACCTCTAATCTTTGGCACTTAACTTATTTGACCTTATTGTTGCAAGTGACATAAAGCTCTTACTAAAATCAACAAAAGAAATCCAACAACTAATAAGCATCGCTTTAACGCAAAAGGCATTTTTTATTCTTCGTTTTTTAGTCATTATTATGCAGAGTATTTTCACTTTCATCATTTATCTAATCTAATTAAAGAACATGGCCAGTAACATGTAATGAATGGTGACGTGAGGATCTTAGTAAATGTGCGAGTTTTACCCCCCTTTCAATACTATAATTAGGTTACTCAAGAGACAGGACCTTGGCAGGACCTATGAATTTAATGCCCGTCTCCAATAGGACTGAGCCAAGTGAGCTGAGAGCCTTGAAAGCTCCACAAAACGATCCAAGTTCAAGATCGCCCATGTAGTCTGGTATTTGATTTACAAGGTCATTTGCGTGGTCCAGCAGGATAGCACCTGAGTTAACAAGTCTATATCGATGAGGTGATGGTGCAGCTCAGCTAATACAGATCACACCATAAAGGTACATTTCAGTTCCCCGAAAAAAAAAGCTAATTTCCCTTGAAATCTTTCCCCGATTTTACAACTGAATAAGTTTAAAGACCAGTCTGTCCATCTCAAATTACTGCATCATGTACCGTATTTACATTTCTCTGGTTGATGAATAACGAAGACTGATAGGCCTACATCTCTGTATCATATTATGTTCTTTCGTTTAACTAGGGATGGGTTTATTTTATACCCAGCTTTCCTGCTTGTGTTTGGTATAGAGCTACATTAATATATATTAACATTCTTGATGACATGCATTATGCAGCTTTTAGATTATAATATTCCTACTCCTAATCTTATGAACAATACGTATATATATATATATATATATATATATATATATATATGAATTAGCTCTTTCCAGAGTCACACAGTCATAGAGCATATGTTGGTAACTAAGTGTTTACATTTTTAAAATTTGGTTTTGTTTTGTTTTGTTTGTTTTCTTAGTAAGAGAGTGTGATGGCACTCGAAAACACAAATTGTTCATATATGAGCCGAAGATTAGAGATGTTACTTGAGAGTAACACATACAGTCATACAGAAGAGAACGAAAAGAGGTTTAAGGATGATAAATGTTTGATACATTGATAGGAAAGAAATAGTAAACCACACCAGAGCACCCCCCAACCATCCACATCCCACTCAGCACCTTTTGTGAAAGGAAGATGACAAGTGTTAAAATGCATTCAATCTGTACTTAGATTAAAAAGACTTACTTGGCACTTGGGGATTTCTCCACAGATGTTGTTTCATTAATGTATTAAATTGTTGATCTGAGCAAATCCAGTACTTTTATATTGTGTGTAGTCCAGCCAGAGGTCGGTGCCATGTTTTTTTTTTCCAGTCTTATTCTTTCTAGGCTGGATGATGCCATGCCTGTGAAGCCACTTACACAGCAATATAAAGTTGTTCCATTGATTCATGAAATAGAAATTCTTATCAAAAGGGCAAGAACATGTTCCCTATTTTTGTTCAGATCTAAAATGCAGCAATGACTTGATGTATTGTTGCTTTCTTTCATTTGATTATGTGGTAAAATATTATTTATACGATACAACAGTGTAGTGTATGGATATTACATGACAGATGATAGCAATAACATTTGATTTGTTTTGTCGCATTCGGGATGAGTCACAATCACTATTCCTGCACAAGGTAAAGAATAAGATTTAATCCTTTAAAATGTTGTTCTGTGGTACTTTTCCAAAGTCGCGTGTACTTTTAGTCAAATCTCTACACACTAAACTTGTCCGTGTGGGAAATCGAGTCAAAGTAAAAAGGTCATGGTACTGGTACACAATAAAGGCTGAAGAGCCAGGTTATTAGTTGAGTTCAGCACCCTAACTGGTCATTTTGATGGCTCCAAGCGAAGGGCAGTTAAAAGAGTGTTTCCTGACAACATACCACAACATTAAATGGTGGCAACTTAAATTTTCCCATTCCTTGGCAACTACTTTTGCTGGACAGTGATGCAGTATACACATACATTATGATTATTCTTATCATGTGTTCTCTCCCTCAATACTGAGAGTGGGGAGTTGCCTAACAAGATCCCATCTTCTGAAATCCCAGCGGTAACAAGCCATTTAGACTTTAGGGAAAAAGGTGGTTACAAATAAGCACCTGTAACTTGTAACCTTCTACCCTAGAGTTAGTATTTTTATTATACTATACGGATGAGCCATTTGAACTCAAATTGCATGTTGGAACCGAAGATAACCCATTTACAGGGTGGACAAAATGGTGGAACAGATTTTCTTCTCTGGCAATATCAAAGTAAAAGTGCTCCTTCAATCTTGCCGAAGCTTTGAGGAGCAATGCACCTGAGGTTGTAAACAATCACCTGTTTTCTCTGGAGCAAAATCGTTTACATTTACAACACAACATGATCATACTGACAGCAATGTTCTAATTTCTAGCGCAACTTTGCTGCAACATTGTGTTCATAATCTTTTTCACATTATTATAATCTTTCTATTATACAACATTATAATGAAAATCGTGTGAATGTCAGTATAGCAACCTTTACACTTTTCTCAAGAAAATTACTTGTTTATTCAGGTAATTTACAGATGGTATTAAAATATATGAACCCACTGCAGTTTAGGGTATCGAGCTTGCGCTGTTCTGACTCCTTTCCAGGAGCTTGCTTCAGTCGATTGATTGATCATTTCATAATCACTTCTGCATCCATTGATCATACACCAATTCATACATTTCTATTCTACTCTGGGATAGAATGTTTCACACAAATTAGTACTCTGGAGCTGAATGTGTAGTTGGTTATCGATGCATGTGTGTATGGATACATATCATTATTATAAGTTGGTGGAAACATTTTTGAATGAGCTTATTTTTCAAGATTAACATCTCACTCAGGTAAAATGTGTGTTTGTGAGATAAGACCAACATCCGTCACACTTTGTAGTGAATACTGATGAGGTGAACCCTTCATGAATGTGCAGATTAAGTAGGTGAATTCTTATTTAGTAAGCATGTTACAGTATAACCCGGATATGTCTAACACAGATTACTTGAAATCACGCATCCGTCAAACTATGCCTTCTTTATGTTTGTAAAGAAAATTACACGAAGCTCGAACACAAACATGGAATAGTCTAAATATTTACACCGCCGTAGAGGTCTAAAGTCAAGGTCCTTTGATGTGTACTTGAGGCAAAATAATATGATAATTTTTTTTAACGGTAAAAGGGAAGGTCGGTAAAATACAACCTCCCCCCCCCCCTCCCCACAGAGGCAGGTAGCTGTGCTTCGTTAAGCATGTTACTCGACATGGGTGCCCTCTGCGCGTGCCTAGGTCTTAAGCCTAGCTAGGCTTGTGTGGATCAGCCGCACCCCACCCCTGTTTGCAAAGGACTGCACACTTGGTGGGAGAGGCGGGGTAGGGTTGTATTGTTTTGTCACCGTTTTATTGATTACTGTTGTGATGTTTATCTTGTCAAATTGTTTATGTTTTGAAACATGTAGTAACACCAGGGGATGTTGTTGTCTTCTCTGACTCAATGTCAGTACTCCAAGCCGTCGAGGGAGAAGACTACAGAGGTGACGGGAACATTCTCAGTCTTGTAAAACATATGGGCATTTCCTATGGCATCCGGGTCACACTGCAGTGGGTGCCTGGCCATTCTGGAGTACCAGGGAATGAGACTGCAGACCAGCTATCAAAGACTGGAGCAAGCCTGCCCCAGACAGACACACCGGACTCTTTACATACCTGCAGAGGGATCATCCAAGCCAAAAGCAGAGACGAGTGGCTAAACAGATGGGCCAACGCAGAAACAGGAAAATCTCTCTTCGGGTACATGGACAAACCCAACCTCAAAGACCCTTCGAGTCTCTTATGTAGAGCCCATCACACATTGATCTTCAGAGCCCGCAAAGGACACTTACACACCAACAAGCACATAAACAGAATTAACCCCATGTGGGAACCCCATTGCAGACAATGTGACTACCACGAGGAGACAGTTAAACATCTTCTCCTTCACTGCCCAAACCTGGCAGTTCAGCAATGCACACTCCTACATACACCTACAAGGGGGCTCTCGTGGCCTAGAGGTTAAGGTGTTGGCCTCTTATTCAAAGGTCCCGGGTTCGAATCCGGGTAGCCACCGAAACATTTTCTTCTCTAAAATTGTCTCCTTTCAGTTTCACCCCCTTTCCTGCTCTCTAGCAATATTCTGTTGTCTTCTTTCATTTCCACTTTCTGCCCCCACCCCCTCACCTCCTTTGCCCCCTCCTCTGGGCTCCTGACTCTTTCTGCAGCCTTTCTACTGCTACTCCTTGGCTCCTCCTTACTGCTGTATTTCTGCCACACCCCTGATCTTCTGGTAGGAAAGATCTACACCTAGCCTTCTCGGACAAGGGCGAAAAATCCCGGAGGGCCCATGTGCAAGTTGCGCACATTAAAGATCCCTTGGTGGTCTAAAATCGATTTATAAGAGTAGGCTTCAGCCGCCACCCGGGCAAAATTCAAAATTTCCTACCAACTGAAAATATTAGGTGTGTCCCGCGCGCTCATATGACCTTATGCAGTTGTGAGCGCTGTAAAACACTTACAAAAAAACAAATATATATATACCTACAAACTTACAAAGCCTGCTCTACTCTAGCGTTGACCAGATGACAAGGACATGTGATTTCTTGAGGGAGGCATTGCGCTGCCAAGAGCAAAATGCTCGCAGCTAAAGGTATTTGAAAACAACAACAATGACATGTTTTGAAAAATTAGAATAGGCACCATTCAATTGGTGCAGACTAAAGATCGCTCACACTGACCTGCGCAATTAAACTGTCTTGGTACCAGTAGGCTCATTACCAATCATACTCGAAAGCCTTGATCATCGTGTTTCTTGTTCTCAATCTGTAAATTTCATATTTTCTCAAATTTTGAATTTAAGTCAAGAGGCATGGATCTATCCTATCTGATCTAGGACAATGGCAGAAAAAAGAAAAATCTCTGTTCCGACCCAATCTTTGTTGCTTCCCTTGATTCTCTGACACAACGGATGCCATAACACTGTTCACGTATCCCTCGAGCTATGGATCCCTTGAACTACCCAGTACGGTCCCGACCAATTCGAACAATCCGTGTTATACTGTATGTGTTTTAAAAGTAAGGTCACCAAAAGTGAAACTTGTCTTTGTTTTGCACTTAGTATAATGGTGGTGCCCTGGAGTCTATGAACATTTTTTTAGCTTCGATATTGTAGCAGAAAAATTTTTCAGGGGCCCAGGTACACCATCATATGCAAAATACATAATATGTCAGTCAGTGATTATCTATCTCTGCTTGAAAGATAATAATAGAGACTTCTTAACATAAAGTATCTTATGTTTGCACAGCATTATTGTTAGTTTGCTCCTCCTTAGTAATAATGATATGTAATGTCCGTTTGATATGGAAGCAACTTTTCTAAAAATTAAAAACTTGTGTTTTTTTCTCTTCTTAGTGAAAAGCGTACTGTTATTTAGATATAAAACCAAATAACATAAGGGCCCATGAAAAATTGTTCAGCCACAGTATCGTAGCAGAACAATGTTTAACAGGCCCCAGTGCACCACCATCACAGTGAACATTACGAGCAAGAGAAAATGCTTTATAATATATAAGAAGTCAATGTCACTATTTTTAAAGCAGAAATTTATATATATAAATATATATATGTTACAGTAAGAATGCGTACCTAGTGAATACGCGTAATCACTGAATATTTTAGTGAATACACGTAATCCCCGTTTCACTCAGAGGTTTCACGTAATCACTTAAATTTCTAGTGATTACGCGAAATCCCTAAAATTAGACCTATCATTTTACATGTTTTTACTACATATGTACTGAGCATTCAGTGAATTCACGTAATAGCCCCGCCACTGTACAGGGATTACGCGTTTTCACTGAAATAGTCAGTGATTACGCGTATTAACTAGATTGATCTACGTGTTCTTACTGTAACATAGATATATGCCAGCTGGCAAACAAGGAGACAGCGTGTGTAAGCCAGTTTCACTTGTTGATTGAGGGAGAGGCGATCCTACAAATATCCTTGATGTCATAATTGACAGACGTGAAGATAGCCGTAAAAGCTGGTTTATTTCCAGAAGTCAGTTCGATCTGTGCCCTGAGCGTCTTCTGAACACTGACGATATAAACACCGAAAAAATTGTTTCCTTGCGTTCGGCGGTGATTTTTCAATCTTCTTCAGGTGGACAAGGCTTCACAAGATGCAACTGTACTGGTGCCAAAAAAGTGTAGTTCAAGCCGATGTAAATGCCGCAAAGCAGGGCTTTAGTGTAACTTACGCTGTCATAACAGCCTCGGTTGTTGTAACAAGTGATGACGTGGATGGATTTTAGTCTTAAGTATTTAACTGAAAACTGAAACAATTAACAAAAACAACGACAATGGTGTCTGTCATTTTAAAAAAAAATAAATGCTTAGTTTTTAGATTCTGGAGCAGGTGTGTGTATGTGTGTGTGTGTGTGTGTGTGTGTGTGTGTGTGTGTGTGTG